ATGGCAGTTCAAAATGGCAGACCCGTTCCCCCTGTTGATAAAAACGACTCATTCTGAGATAACAAAACCACAACAGTTCTTATTTTCAGGTGATTATACACTAATGAAAACATAACCATGAATATTATATTCCATTTCTGACAATAGATCCTCCTCCTTAATGTGACCTTTAAGTGTCTCCAAGGGATTGATATGACAATACTGACAATAAATCACATCACCCACACACACATATAACCCCACACAGTATTTCCATATAATAAATAAACCTACAACCAGTTTTACATGCTTGTTTTCTCCAGTGAAGTCGACAGCATTAAAACATATTCAAATCATTTTTTGGCACAGTATTAGTGATGTTAGGCAAGAGTAAACTCAAATAGTTTTGTATTCGGAACACTCATATCCTCTGTCGACTGTACAGTAATGTTGATACTGCTTATTATTACAGATCTGTTACGTTCAGCTCACCAGAAGAGTCAAGTTTTCAACAAGTCCTCCAAATGAAAATGTATTTTGTTGTTTAATTTGGAGGACTTGTTGGTCTGTGCTCTCTAGAACAACAAATAGAAGCATTTTCTGATCTGACATCCTTCATCAGCAAGATGACATCATTTGTCAGTATCTTCCAAAAGCATTACAAATTACAATTAAACACAAAAACAACTTGGTTAGGATTATGCAAAGATCATGGTTTGGGTTAAAATAAAGACTTTTATATGGAAATGAGTAAAATGTCTACATTGTTAAATATTAAAGTCTGATGTTTTGTTGATCCACTCATCCACCCTGACCTCCTCCCTATGTGGACTTTGCTTCTTCTTGGGAGGACAGGTCCATCCATGGATGCATTAGGGAGGTCTCATCTTTTCTCCAGATGGTCAACATCAGTTTAAAGATTCAAAGTCAGTGATTATGTAGCTTTTTTGTAAGCTAAGCAGCCAGCTCACTGTTCAAATGCACTTCATATAAGCATTCCAGGGTTCCCACTCTTTTTAAGGAATAATTTTCCAGGACCTTTCCAGGAGATTTTTTGACAAAACAGGACAGCACTTGCTCACAAACGGCCATATAATTTACTAGTAGGCCTGTAGGCCTAGTATCGACACATTTAACTAACGTTTTATTCCTCCTTTCTTAATGATGCAGTGTTTATGATGAAGTGTTCATTACAGGCAGATGGTCAGTGTTTACTCCACATTCATTTGCCTAATCCCTATTTTTCCACTGCATACTCTCCAGTGAACTGACTACAGTTTATAGTTTACAGTTTTCCTCTCACCATAACATGACTTTTGCCACAGCTAATAAATAACAGTTCAAATGATGTAGAATTTATTTTAGTTTTTGTAAATTAATCTTCTCTTTGAGGAACTAGTGGCAGCTACGGGGGTGGGCACTTGGTGTAAAACAGCAAGAATGAAGTAAACAACAATGGTGGCTAAGAGGTTAGTGTAGATGCTGCTAGCATCAGTGCTATCAGAACTGGAGAGTATTTCTTCATTGAAAGAGGAAAGAACGATACCGAACGCTTTACTCTGTGGAAAAGATGTTTTCTCTCTTCTCCCAACTGTCTTCAGTAAGGGTTTGACTATGTTATAATGTTCATTGATCTGATTAGTTGAAGTTCACCTGTGATAGATAGTAATACACAGATGGTTCATCCAATCACCTGCAGAGTATTTTTGGAAAGTGTTCTTTTTCATGATGCCCTCCGGTTCTGTGTAACAAACCCTGTTAAACAAACCAACAAGTCTAACTAAAGCAGGTAAATCGAATCACTACTAAGTAACTGACACACAGAAAACCTGCAGTCATGTAGTATTATTCCAAAGGCTTTTTGTGTGCAGTGTACATAAAGGGAACTTGGAGGTAACAGTGTGGAAGTGGGGGGTCAGAAAGAGTTACCCTAACAAGTTGGGAGTCCCCTAACAGTCTATGGTGTAACTGGATCCCATTCATCTCTCTGTGACCATAAATATGTGGTGCAAGCCAACAGAGGGTTGATATAAAAGCCAGCAGGCCTTGATGGATGAAACAGTGAGTTGAAGTGACTGGGGGAAAGTTCCACAGCGCACCAGCTCTGCACTTCACAAACAATACAGAAGAAGTTAGATGTGACGATAGTGTGCAGAGGGGTTTGTGTTTTGTTTGCTTGTTTGGTTCACTGGACTCTCTGGACCTGCAGGGCAGTGAAGCGCTGCCACTGACAACACTGTGGGGAGGAACAGAGCCAAAAAAATGTCAAAGTCTCCCCCTGTGTGTGTGTTTGCAGTTCAATGCACTGTGAGCAGCAAGGCTTATTTGGGCTAGGTCGCGTTCCAGCGTCTGAAGGAATAAATCACGTTTAGCTCATTTTTTCGTCCATGTTGGGTGAAATATATTTACCATTGTTCAGTTTCTCACAACCTAGACTCATGCTAAATCATACTGAGCATGTGTCAGTACACAGTCTTTGACCGGCAGATGTTCTCTGGTGGAGACAAGCATCCAAAGCAGCCGTTCTTGTCCTCCTTCTCGTCAACCACCAATCCGTTGCTGAGCTTGTGCTGCTCCTCACCATCCTCTGTCAGGCTGCTCTCTTCCTCCTCTTCCTCTTCATTGTCACTTCTCTCATCTTTGGTTAGCTGTGGCATAAGAAAGAGAGAAGTAAAGTAGATGTAGAGGAAGAAAGCAGATATGAGGGGACGGGTGGAAACGAGGGGGAATCGGAGAAGAGAGGGAGTGGGTGTTCAGCAAATACAACAAGCAGCTGGCGGAGCCAGCAGCCAAAGTCGAAGAGAACAAAACGTCCACCCGAAAGCAGATTTGGAACCTGAGCTGCGGCGAAGAACAATGAGCTGGAGTTTTGGGTTCTTGTCAGTGGAAACTATTTACTGCTTTCTCTTTCAGTCATAGTGCTCTCTCATGTGTTGTTTTGTCACAAACATATTTGTACTAAGTCCAAAATAATCAGGTGTTAATGGCAACTGTTGTCTAAATAGTCTGTTTCCAGTCAGTGTATGTTAAAGTAATGGTATTCTTATTTGTTCCTAGCTAAGCAAGCTGTTTCTCACAGAGCAGCGACAGAATAGATGGATATAATGACTACGTTTACATGCACACTAATTTTCCACTATAATTTCAAATACAACAAATCTTCCACATTTGATAATGTAAACAGCATATTCCTTTGGATATTCTTATTTAGGCATTATTCAGAATTGAGCATTTTCCAATTAAAGCTGCAGTAGGTAACTTTTATAAAAAAATAACTTTTGTCATATTTGCTGAAACTTTCACTATATCCTGACAGTAAAACAAAGACAGATCAGAATCAGGTTCCTCTGCTTCCTCCTAGTGCTCCTAATGGCATTTACAAGAATCCAACTGGCCTGAACAAAAACAACCAATTTTAGGGTGCATGGGTAAAAAAAAGCCTGTTTCATTCAATGTTAGTTTCTTTTATTTGTGACCACAGTATTTACCTAAACTTAACCAAATCATGGAATCACTATGTCAAATTTATTTTAAAAAATATTGTGTGTAGAAAATGTAAGAGAACCATTCCACAGGGTTTCACTCCACTCAGGTGTGGGAGGGTTTATGTTCATTATCTGCCACGCATTAATATTAGGTCTTATGATAAGTCATGGTTTACCAAGACCACAATGAAAAAAAAGTAGAAATTGTGCTGTAATTGTGCTCTACCCATCAAAAACAATTTGGAAGCATTGATAGATGACAGACCATTCTTACTGAGCAGACTTACAGTGCCAGTCATAAACTTTCTGATCATGCACAGAATAAGGTAGGCCCAGAACATGTGCAGACAGAGAAGGACCACCAGCATCACATTGAAGAAGTAGTATCCAAAGAAGGCAGGGTAATGGTGAATGGGGTAGACCCAGGTACAGTGGATCAGCCTGAAACGCAGCACAATAGAGACAGGTCAAAATCTCTTACTATCCAGGGTCCCAATCTGTGTCCCGTGTTGCTGAAGATCTTCTATATACCATCTAAATACCATCACCTCCCATATACACAGGCCCTTTCACACAGGCCCGATGGACAGCTGTTGTCCAATGTTAGGCCATCAGTAAGTGTCTGTAGCTCTAGGTTTTGCAATGTGTCCCTGTCTGTTGTCAGCCCTCTCATGCCGACTTTGTCAGGAGGGTACGCAAGGATTGTTTCATTTTTCAACTTTATTTCATCTGATCATTCAATTCAATTTCAATTCAATTTTATTTGTATAGCGGCAATTCATAACAGAAGTTATCTCAGACCTCAAATAAGCAGTCGTAAGACCGAACTCCTTATAACTCAGAAACCGTCTGAGTGACAGCATGCAAACCTACATCAATAGGGCTGCTTTTGTTTTTATCCACAGTCCTAGGTCTTCAATGACGAATGCAGACTACTGTAGTTGCTGGCCAAGATGCTGACGACGTGAGGTGATGCACCAGTCAGCTTTGGTCGCTGCTAGTTCTTTGAAGTCGGTTTGGTGTGTTGGGGCCTTAATCCACCAGGCCTGCAATAAATCCTACTTTTCTGAAGGTTCTAATGTTCAGTTTGTTATTTTGTTGCAATTTACGTTTTAAGACTGTTGTTGATTCAACTTTATTCAATTGTATTATAATGAGAGATGTTGCTTTTTCCCTATTATAATTTTTTGTCATTCTTAGATAGGAGGCAGTAGAGAGTTGACAATAGAGTGTGAACTGGGCTTTAAGCTGATGATGGTTGAACTTTTACAACTTGCCATCGCAGCTGTGACTATGGCTACCACAGAAACCACATCAAGTATTTTACTGTTGTCTGAATTCACTGAATTATACACACAAGCAGTTATGGAGCAACACTAGCTTCAAAGGTTAAAAAAGGGATTATCCAGCTCAGGACACAAAACAATGTTTATCATATCAGTAAGCTAAACTACATCATCATGTAATATTCATTTTCTCTACTTTAAGACACAATCTGCTCTATTGAGCCACATAATGAGATTAGAATAGTTAGATGGCAGCAACATTCAACTTGCTCTTAGGATCAGAGGAAGTCCTGGTAGCTGCAGTGGTAGTGTTGCTCCCTTCTGCCACCCATTCAAAATACAGAACCCCGTCATTTCTGGCAGAACACAGTGGTAAAAGGTAGTGTAGTGCTGTATGGAGAAGTAGGTCTTAATAGTTTGTCCTTATGTCCCATTTAATGAGAACAGAAAAATATTGCAAACATCTCTCAATGAGTATCACAATAAAATTCACCATCGCCACAAACTACAGCCTCCAAAATAGCAATAAAGTCTGCATTGTGTTTCCAGCATTTCACAAGAATTAAAATAGCATGAACATTTGTGTCAGTGACTCCAGTAACTTTACAAACAACCTAATCGGTTTGTAGATTTAACTTAATGTCATTCCAGTTTAACCAAGCTGGTAAAAATAAGCCAATTTCACTTCCAATCCATTTTCCTGCTATGCAGAAGAGTTAACTGGTTAACTGTATAATAAGGAAATGATGAATGGAAGCGGCAACTAATGTGCAGAGTACTGCCATCATATAATATAGAGTCTCTCTCTCTGTCTCTCTCTCAAACACACACACACACACACACACACACACACACACACACCTCATTTCCAAACTTACCAGAATGGGTAAATGATCAGTCGTGTTACCATAAACACTATGGCAAACAGAACAAAAAGAGTTTTGCAGGCTTTCTCCCACTTGGCATAGTTGAATAATTTGGCAGACTAAAAGAAAAAGGAGTCATATTGTTAATCAACCACATTAAAAAACACAGCAAGATTAAATTGAATTACTATCATTCTCTGCAGCATACTCAGTGGTAACTATAAAGCCTTAATGGTATTACTGTACAATCTAAAGCAGCCAGGTATCCATTGGAATGATGTTCATATTGGACAATTATGCCACAAACTTTACATCCAATGCTAACATTCAGTGTAGGAGGTTGTGTGTTCTTTATGTAAAGAGGCAGAAAGTAAGGGTGTGGATAATGTGTTATGGAAGGCCACTGGGTTCAGCAGGTGTGTGTGTAAACCTGTACATTCGTAAACACGTAAAGCTTCATTATCAATGGCTGGTAATACTGGGGTCGTATATGGTCCTATGTATGCCTACTGGGTGTTTTTTTAATTTATTTTAGATTTTGTTCATATGTATATGCTCTTTGACACACAAAAAAAAAATATGAATTAGGAGAATTGCATAGTTTTTTGCCACTGGGAGTTTAGTTTAGTTATTTTTGCAACCAAGAAAGTTAGACGGGAAGCCATTTTTAGGATTCAATATCCAACTTGTTATTTACGTCAATTGATTTGAGCGTCCAGATTCCCGCAAATATCAGACACATTTGCACTGTATACTTTTTTTTACTTTTTTCCTGGTTGTTTTTGGTTGTTACCCAAATACCATAGCAAAAAGGCTCTTTAACTTGACTTACCTACAGTTGAATACTGGTGCATTATTGTCATCAAACACATAGATGTTCGGTTATACTGTCCGGTTACCAAAATTTAATCCACACCTTCCAGTCAATTAGAATTGAGAATTCTTAGTGGCCATGGTCGTTGTTTTTAAACATGACTACCATCTTTCACTAAATTTAACCAGGTGAAAATAAATGTTTAAAATGTTGGCATTGAATATACTCTAGGCTCTAGGCTTTGCAAGGTCATCCAGTATAAACATACTATCAGGTGATAGGGCTGTTTAAATCCATGTGTGGCTGTGACTGACCTCCAGTAAAACATCAGAGGCATCATGGACGAGCATGACCAGTGTTCCTATACGAATGTAGTTGACACACCAGGAAAATGATAAGAGGACCAGCGTGGCCAAGTGGTGGATGATTTGCTCCTTAAAGTCCTTAAAGGAGGAAAACAATAAAATGGCATCAGTCAGTTACCATGGAGAACACTTACAGTCATTAGACTACTAAACTAGAGTATGACTAGCACCACCTAGGCTACAATGTTACAATACTCTGTTTGTCCTGAGGGTGGTGCTAGAGGAAACCATTGGATAACCATTGACAGTAAACTGTATATAATGGAAAGATCGTCTGGGTCTGGGAAGTGAAGCCAATAAGGAAGTGTCTTAAACCTGCATTCTATGTAATGGCCAGCAGGGGACAGCTCCATTGGCTGCAATAACATACCGATAGCATTCAGTCTTTT